GCGGCTGTCCGGGACAGCGGCCCCGGCGCACTTTTGTGGGCGCTGCGCGGCACCTCGGTGCTTCCAGAAGGCCTAGGGCCCTTGGGAGGCCACCTCAACTGGCCGGCCCTCCCCACAGCTGGGCACCGCTCTGCCCGGCGCCGGGGGCCCCAGAAGGGCGCAGAAGCACCTCTCCTGGGGAAGGGCACGTCTTGTGTTACAGTCCTGGTTACAATCTGGAAAAGGAGCTCGAGAGGGAGTTAGCACTTTACCTTGATTCTGCTTACCTGCCCTACAGGTGTCTTGGTATTCCGAGGCAGGAGGCTTGCTTGTATGCACCAGGACTTCATTAAGTAACTTACATACAGTGGGAATCTGACGCTTTTTTAAGACCCCGCGTGGGTCAGAGGTGAAACTGCTTTCGAAACTTCACAGGCTCTTTCCTCAGGTGAGGGGCCCTGGAGCTGTCGGGCTTCCCATCGTGGGGTGTTTTTATTTAGAAAAAAGAGGGTCGGATTCCCCTTTATTTTGACACGTATTCAGCTGTTTATGGCCTTCCCTCCGGCCATGGGATTTGGGCACCGTGCTGGAGAGGACATTTTGTGGGGGCAGACAGCTTTTTTTTTCCCCTTTCCTCCTGGTTGAGAGAACCTAAATTAGTAAGTGGTGTGTGTGTGTCTGTGTGTGTGTGCGTGCGATATTTTTCAAGTATTGTTCAAGATCTGGGCATGGCACATTTGCACAGGTTCTGTTTAATGACCTCCACTGTGTACTGTTAATGCGGTATCTAATGTGCCAGGTGCCCAGGTGGGGAACGGCCATGTGTGTGCCCAAGTGCCATGGCTGGCAGAAACTCTTTAGAGGCTACACTTTTTAGGCAAATAACAGCCTGTCCTCTTGAAAGAGCTACCACTTTCAAAGAGCCGAAGTCATCAGGCCCTCTTTTGCAAACTCAGATTTGTTGCAGAAAAATGTGTGCATTTCCCGCCACAAAAGACCCAGAGTAGTGGGTATACATTTCAAAAGATAAGACTTGAATGAGAGAAGTTTTTCTTCTAATTAAAAGAAAAATCTGCTTTCACAATTAGGGTCAGGCTTTGCGTTTCACGGAGGATTGGTTAATTGCAACCCGGCATCTGTTCATAAACATTAGGATAAACAGAATGACCACACATAAGCCTGGAAGCTGGGCATTTCATCTCTCTGGGCCTAGGTGTGTTTGGTTCCCACTCGTACTTTCACTAGATACTGATGTGTTGGTTATTGTATAACTTGTGCTACAGACTACTGCCATCCGGTTGATGATAACAGAGTTGAAGTGTTCCCCAGGGTTTCCCTGGCAGAAGCAGCCCCATCTTTTTTCCAAGGAGTGATTAGTGGGTTCAACCCAGTTAGCAGCCCAACGTTAACACTGTTACCAGGTCTTCTGCTAAAGAGCCAAGTATAATCCTTTAGTGTTAGGTGAGACTATTCAGAGGTGAGGAGCCCTGCTGGTGTAGGGGATTACTCCTTGGGCTGCTAACTTTAAGGTCAGCAGCTCAAAGCCGCCAGCCCCTCAGCGGGAGAAAGACAAGGCTTTCTCCTCCCATAAAGCTTTGCAGTCTCAGAACCTCCCAGGGGCAGTTCCACCCTGCCCCGAGGGTCGCGCACGATGAGTCAAAACCGACTTGGTGGCAGTGAGTTTGGTTTTTGGTTTTATACTGAGTGTGGAGGGCAGACAGGGGAGCAGGGCATGGGTTCCAAAAAATGTGT